GAGTTTCGGAGATACATGCTGAAGAGCCGAGTCCTTCTTGAGATGCAAACAGTCGCTAAGTTAGTCGATAAATACCCCGCCTATAACTTTTTCACAAGGGTCGTCGAATGGAAGATGACTCTAATTCACACCCTCAAATCTCATTTCTTTAAGATCTATTTTATTATTACCTTCCACGTACTCCTAGGTCTTCCACGTGGTCCCTAGCCTTCATGTTTCCCACTTAAAATTCATTTGGCTAATCCACATAGCATTAGAACACAGAAGACCAACATCGACACGAATTTCACTGGTACAGACACGGGTCGTTCAACTTTACTTCTTTCCTCAGGGCGAGAACAGTTTTATTGTTGGACCCAAGGGCCAAGAAACACATTCTGGCATTATTTTCTAAAACAATTTACCAATTTTCTTCACCTTTAATAATAATCATTCAAAAATGGCAAAGTACCATAATATATGATTAAATATAAATTTTATTGAAATATGCACAAAATAACTGCAGAGTCAAATTTTGTTTTAAATTTGCATGTAACAGCTTGTATATTGCACAATTTTCACCTGGAGAACTTACATTTTATGATAGATTTTTTAAAATCAATACCATGTGTTGTATGTAAAGAAGCAGATAACATAAGAATCACGACTGTTTCTCAAAGCCTTCCGAATAAAGAAAGAAAACAAACGAGTTTATAGTAACTAGCAAACAATTACTCACAACCTCGTCAAACCTCTATGCCTACAGCCATCCCCTTATTTAAGTAGCAGTAAAATTTTATTTTTCAATGTAAATTTATGTACGACAATTTGTAATATAAACAATGGCAAGAATATAGTGTTAATTAGCTGCTAGAGCAGTTGAACATTTTATAAACCGATAAAACAATTCGATATCGATTTGACCACCTCCTATATCGAAATTAAATTTCATATCGACTGACATCCATAATAATTAGTGGTGAATATAAGGAGAAATTATAAATATCTTCGAAATTATATAAGATATGATAATGTTACTAATTTTCTAGTTTAAATATCCGCATGAACACAAATATTTATATACTTACAAACATACGTAGTGCCAAAATCTCACATTTACAATAGAATTCCGCTTATTATACAAATAAAGTTTAATAGGCCGCCAGAGGAGGACGAGGGTGGACACCGAAATAGTGGGGAATAATATATTTTATCATTACACAAGCACCGCGTGGTCGGATGATATTCTAAAAACACAAATCCTAAAAAAAAATTACTTACCTGAGCAATTAAAAAACGTCGTTTCTTTTATAAATGTTAATAAGTCAATAATAATTCCTTTCTGTCTGATATTGCGACATACATTTATTTTATTTATTTTTCACTGTAAATCTTAATGTGCGTCTCTCGACACATTCACACAGGCACTGATGTTGATACACTGCCGCTTCTGATACTAAAATACACCGCATTCATATTTGTCACACGTAACAGGAGTCAACATACAAATAAAGTCGATAGCCGGTTGAGTATTTTCCATTAGAGTACACATCGCAAGCTTTAACACATTCAGTAATTATGGATAAAATTAAAATTAACGATATTTAATTAGCATCAGTCATTATTTAGTTAAAATAATACATTACGAAAACTCGTCATAGTTTAATGATGTGCACATTTTATTTTATCATGCAAGCGGTCGTAATATTTGCCTTTCGAAAACCCTCGTGTCAGCTTTGCCGTGAAACAACTGACAGGCGGACGCCGGCTTCACCCAGTTTCCTCCTGGAAGCAACATCAGCGCCGCGACGGCGCATGGCGGGAAGATAACATAAAATAAAATAAAAATAGTCCTTGAAGAAGAAGCCGGAAAAATTTTTGTGCGCATGTACAGTAACTTTGAGATCCGAAAAGGGCTGAGAGGGGGTTAAAAAGAGAGAGAGAAATATACAGCCTTGTTGCTTAACATTCTGTCTCCTTTTCTGCTGGCGTGCTACATATAATGTGGATGTGGGAGCCCCCCGTATTGATTAATTTCTACATCGCTGACTAGCTTTTTAGAAAACGTTGGTCCGTCTTTAAACGATATGGTGTTATCGTTAAACGTAGACTTCAAGGGCGTAATAATGATAGCAACACATACCAAGACGGGAATGGTAAAAGACAAGGTTTACACACATACTTTCCATAACTCAAAAACACGATTTCATACAACTGAACAGCTCAGCGAGAAACAGACATCAAAAACGGGACTCAAAATGAAAAGCCCTGACCTAGAACCAGCTACTGCACCGTTAACCCTTTTCTTCAAGTGTCCTTTGAAGATTAGCATCTCCTAATAAACACCGATGTTCCAGTCCCATAACACTTTGCTACACTTTGGTGTACGAGTAAAATTAAAGTCACTTCTGCTCATTTATTTGGTGGAAACATAACAATATCGTGTTAAGTGGATAAGTGTTAAAAGTTAACACAGAGGATAATGATGGAACATCATCCTCTCATCCACGTGGTGTCCAGAATTCCCTGTTCGATGTAAATTTTGTATATCTCCCATATTAAATTATGAAAACATTTTAAACTTGCGCCTCTACGATGGATTCAGTTCGTTCTATGTGGGTGTCTTACTGAACAATTACTCTTCGATTGACTCTTAAGTTACATAACGACGCCTATCCAACTGCAGACATTCTAAATAGTCTACTCAAATGCTTGAAATGTTCCTGTATGGTGATCAGATAAGAATTTGAAATCTTCTGGGCCGTTCAGTATAGTAGATCTACCAGACTTCAAACTCGCTGCAGTAAAAACCTTCAATCTCGCTAGGTAAGGATTTGGTAGAAGCGTATCGTGGCCTACTTTAGGTGTTATCCCACACTGTCCTTGAGGGAACCCATGAAATCCCTCAGTAAAAATTGCCAATTGAAAAGAATTCGAATACGAAACAGGAAGACGTAGGCGTTACCCGCAAATACACGCATCCCCATCTACATCAATTCCCACTTGAGTGGAACCACGACCCCATATTCAATTTCGTTCTACCTGAAGGCAGAAGATTTTACTACACCGATGTCAGACTGGGAGAAGAAACGAAATTGAAAATTTATATCAGATGATACGAATAAATACGAAAAGTATTCAAGTTTTAAATAACCACAAATCTGGGAAAATCACTTTTAGAAGCCAATAAAGAAGAAGTAAGATGCAACAGTTTGTGTAAAGTGGACAGTGCACAAAAGCCAAATCCGTTAGGCCCTCTGCCTCGACTAGCTCGATCACGGGGCCCAAAATATTAGGACTTTGTCCTCCTCACAGGAGAATTACAACGAACGTTAAAATGTCACTTAAACAGAACCAGTTATATTGACAGCAAGAGCAAATAATTCCAGGAAATTACTAACTGCAGCAATGGAACGGTGGACTTGCCAGCAGGCGCATGGGAATACGAAAGACTGCTCTCAATCAACTAACAGCTTCACGCGAGGACCGCATAGTTAGTAGGAAACATAAATCCGAACACGCTTATGAATGCAGAAACCAATATGTCAGAGGTTAATAGTACCCCACGATTAAAGAAAACTATCACGCATGATTACTTCATACAAAGCATCCCGTAATTGAAGACTGCTGTCTTCTGGGCTATTGCGCCGTGTAGTCTGGTAGATTTCCACCAACGTTTCAGAGGCCACACTGCCTCCGTCATTAGGGCGATGAATGTGAACGTTGGTGGAAATCTACCAGACTACACGGCGCAATAGCCCAGAAGACAGCAGTCTTCAGACTCACCGCCGTGATAACCTCAAATACTATCCCGTAATTTTATGACAAAAAGTGCATATATATATATATATATCGGTAAGATTTCAGGTTATCACGCCACAGAATCTGGTAGAAATTCACCTGCGTTTCTGGGGCGCCAGATCTAAGTCATACCTCAATAAATGAACGCTTTAGGTCCATATGCATCAAAAGTTTTCTGTTCAGTTTTCAGTGTAAAATAACGATATATACTTTTTTAGAGTCAATTTCGGAAATACCTGTATGTGTATATATATTACTTCACTTTCGCTTGGAGAATCGAATTATGCTGCCGGTAAACGACATGCAAGGAACAATGTGAATGAGGTCTTGAAATGAAACGTCCTTTGTTAACATTTTACTTTGGCCCACAGATGTAATGATCATAATTACATATCTACATCTACTTCCAGAGAAGGGCATTAAGAAGCCGAATGGTCAACGTCTTACCATTCTGTGACACGCCTAGTTCTTAAATAGGCATTTGGAAGTCTTGGATGACACAGACAGTAATTTCCTTTCTCTCTTGGCTTTATCGTGAAAGTTCTTCAGGTGTTACAACACTTAGCAGCTTGAATTAAAAATAATTATATTTAGTCATAATTAATACGCTTAACACCGGAGAAAATCGTTAATTTTCGACTGAGTGACATCTTGTCTGAACTCTTATTTCCTTCGCATTTTCTCAGTTCATGTTAGCCACTACATCCCATCGAATATCTTCCCTGCTTCACTTACTTTCCATCTTCAAGTGAAACAAACCGAAACTCACTGCCCATTCTTAACACGCGACAAACGTAATTCTGCAGAGTCTGTCATAAATACTTCCGGGTGTTCCTTTGAAAAGTCAACGCAAACTACAATGGTAAGAATCTTTTGTTGTTATGACCCAGAAATTGAGCAAAAGAAAGTGACATTTTTTAACATCAAAATGTGAGGTATTTTCGTTTCGCAATAAAACTCAACACTTTTACCTTCAGATGTAAGAAAATAACAGAACACGAGTTGTAACCTGTCACAAATCGGTACTGCATATATGCGTAGATCTCTTGTCAATTGTCATCAAAAGAACTAAATAGGTAGTTGTGTCATTGTCCTTAGACTGTCCCAGCACGCGTGAACTACTGTTTCGGTCTGAATGAAGAAAAGACGTCTCCAAGCGAGACAATCGGGTTGCTTAAAAGGAAACGTCAGTCAACATGTAACGACATTTGCAAACAAGTTCTCGTAAAGTGCATTTTTACAGAATTTTTCAGTGACAAAACATCCAGTGCAGTTATATGTGTATTTGGTGTTGAAATATAAAACGCTTCTGAAAATATTAAGCACATGAAACACGTTGAACAACAACAACAATAATAAGAAAGCATGGCTCCACGGCTTACGTTACTTTCAACTTGTTTGTTCATGTGTTATTACATGAATGGCAGCGGCGCTATTATTACGAATGGAAATAATGCTGAAGGCAATATTCAGGGAAACAAGCACCGACATGCACATTTCATTTCCATCACTGAACAGCCGCCAAAGCAGAATCCGACAAGACACGCCGAATCCAAAGTGGATGCACTGGGGGAGAGTCAATTTCACAGAGGACAGAGCTTGGAAAGTAAATCTCTGTATTCATCGTCGTCGCAAAATTACCCAGGTAAATAAGCAATTTTCTTCGTGTTGCTCAGAACACGTCAAAATCTAACTACAGAATATTCATTCTTGTAACATTTTAATAAGGTACCAGCAGGTTATAAACACCACGTACGAAAAAAAGTGTACACCTACAAAAGCAATACACTTAAAATACTTCAATTAAAATTTATATATCCATATATGATCTTTCAGGAATCGTCATATATAATAAGGCCAAACGTACACAAGGCTAATTTCACTTTAACAGTGTGTAACAAACAAACTTTTAAGGTTTGTTTTTAATTATTCAAGAATGACGTTAAAATCTTTCAAAATACGTTCCAAACATACAAATAATTAATTAAATCTGATAAATTCTTATAAGAAAGCAACGAAAAGTAAATCAAATGACTTCTTGGCGCATTAAACTGGACATTAATGCTCAAAAGGTGACAGAAAGGAGAAACAATTAATTACAAAATAGACAGCGGGCTTTATTTCCTTCAGGGCCTTATTACCCGCGGGTACCTTACTAAGCCAGTTTTAAAATACGGATAATACCATTAATTTGCCTACTACGTATTCAGATTTGAGGTTCTCACGGTGGCGATTATGAATATGGTTGTGTTCTTCGTTGTAAAGCCGTGTCGTCTGATAGAATCTTACAGACGTTTCAGAGACACTTGTTTCCTCCAAAATCAGAGCGATGAGCAGAAAGTAACTCTGAAACGTCGGTATACTTCTACCACATTAAGCGACGCAACGACCCCGAAGACATCTGGCGTCTATTACAGTTAGTTCTTGCGATCCTTATATAGTAAATATAAATCATTTGAATAAAAAATTTCTTGGATATTATCCATCGTCTAGTAAATAAAATATAACGTAAAGCGACGTTTCGGATAGGTCCGGAGATAGGGATTAGCTCTATCTAGTGGGCCCAACTGAGTAGGAACCTGAAGACGGAGATAGAGCCCCATATCCGAAACGTCGTTTTACGTTATATTTTATTTACTAGACGATGGATAATATCCAAGAAAATTTTTATTCAAATAACTCATCACCATAGTCAAGAACTTTTAGATTTGAAGTAAATATAAATGTTACTTCGAAGCACACTGTCAGTGTATTTGTTCCTTCCGCGCTCATCTAGAGTATCATCACTCTGGTCTGAGCTACAGCGAGGGATACGATTTTGGTGGACTGACGGGGCACAGCAGCGGCGGCGAAAACAGTCTGGAAAGTAGCATCGCAAGTAGTGGAATCTTCGGAGACTTCAAGCACAACCACTACATGCCGCATCATCACATGAACCGCGAGAAACATCACAATCACAAGTCTGTCGCCCTGAAAGGACTTCTCGTGCCTCTGGCTGGTGTGGCACTTCTTGGTAAGATAACCCGACAGCGCTTAGCAACAGAACTATCGGCATTTTTATGGTAATTTAAATACGCACTGTCTTTTTACGCAAAAATTTATATTCACTGTTGCTATAAATCTGTTGGATTATATCAATCTTGACACACGCGTTAAAGTTTTTTTTTAGTGTTCTGTCTGACGACAGGTCCATATATTATGAACAGGATCCTTTCATCCTCTTCAGGTTGTCAGGGCCCTGCTCATACATATATACGTTCTTTGCAGATGATCAGAAGTGGTTTGCCATTGCCTTCTTCTGTGTGTGTGAGTGGAGTAATTGTTGGGATACCACGGAGAAACCGGGGAAGCCCCCGGAGGAAAACTCCGTGATGCCTAGACCACGGCCTTGCACAACACAAGTTATAAATTCGGGCACCACGTTAAAGTTTATTGTAACAAATCTTGCCCTTCTTTTTTCCGGCTGGAATTCTACGTATAACTCGTGCCTTAAACCACTTTAAATTTTTATTTTCCTCCATAAAGCTGGAATAATAATGACAGCTGACATGAGTCAGACCGAACTTCATGTAAAGTCCAGGAGTGTTAAATGACCTGTAAAACAACTCGAAATGTTTCTGTATCCAACTGGTTTTCAAAAAGGCGAAAGTAACTTCAAATAACTTCCGGTTTAGTATCAGAAGGAAAGTAATGGTTTCCAATAAATAAATTTGTCATTATAAGCGAATATTTCAACCCACACACAGTCATAGCACTATTCTAAATCATACCTGCGTTCACAGAAACAAGCTCTGCAATTAACACTCCATCACGAAGCATCTGTTTTGCGCACACCCTGACAGAACGGCAAACTCTGTAACCGTCAGGAAATAAATGTGATAACACTACAAGTCTTTGAGCCATATCTCAGTTAATTAAATTCTATTCTATTCTATTTATTTGCATGCTGACTGAACAGCCCAAATGACTTAATAATAACAATAACAACAAGGGGGTTTCATTTCTGAGCCAGCACTTTGATGCTTTTAGAGTAAATGTAATTTTCTTTAAGGTGTAATCCGTCATGTACAAAGTAAAGGGGTCCTGACTGAAGACAACTATCTGCGTCAAGATATATTATATCTCATGTTTATAAATAACTTGTGAGATCGATGTTATGACATGGCGATGGAGTTCAGACTATGAGGAAGGCTGTGGAGAAAGTTAAAAACCACTGAAATCGATTCCGTAGGATGGATGGAGTGTAACACCTTCTTTGAGCATAAGGAAAACAGAGACAGAGCCGTGATTTCAAGTATCGCCGAAACATACATCGGTCTTTACAGAATAACTTGAAAGAAAGAACTCAAATGATAACCCGAAGAAGAACGAAACATGAACCCAAAGGAAGGGCTCTAAAAGTATGAAACGTCTGTGAGTCATAATACGCTACCAGGATGTGATTAGTCTGGTGTTTGATACGTATAAACAGATCTTATCGCCCGAGAAGGCTTTGTCGCGTTTAGCAGCCGTAGAAACTCATATTTTACACAGATGGAAAAACAGTGAAGATGTATTGCAGGCGGATGAAGGGAGTCTGTGAAGATGAAGAAGAGTTACAAGGCTGATTAATAAAGGCTCATTTTAGCTTACCACTTACAATAACAAATTAAGTGTAAAATGGTAGGCATTCGTACAAAATACTCCTGTATTAATCAAGATTTTATTTAAAAGGCACTAAACACTTCTGAAATAGAATTCTTCGGATTCCATTCAATCCAGGTTCGTTTTGTTCCCAGCTCTCATTTATATTGCTCTGAATATAAAGCCTAAAGTTTTTAGTTCACGTTTAGCGGACCATCAATCTAGTCTTTTGCAACGTTTCTTCAAAGGCTTTCGTCTTCAAAGATATTTCATTACAAAACAAATATCCAAAGATATTATACTTCGATCTCCTCATAACAATGATAATTATAGTCGGTATTCAAGTAATTGAAGTATAGTCCCTGAAACACAGGGATCAATATTGAAAACTATGGAAGAAAGCTAGAGCTTATTTTGATAATTTCTGCAAAAATATTTTCTAATTAAAGACGGCAGACGTAATGTAACAGAGGTAGTTAAATTGCAATGTTACATTCTTAGAATACTCCAAAATATGTAACCGACATTCACCGGTAGTTTAAATGCGCCTCCGACATCACTACGACATTCGTTGGCGACTCCATGTGACATTACAAATCTCTGAGTATTAGATAATTCACAATTAAATAAATAAAGGGAACTGTTTCCTTTACTTTTCTATTGTCTGCCGTATTTCGGGACTCGGAAAGGGATAGAAAAAACCACGAACTGACTAATTCAGCCAACACTTCTCACTAGAATTCCACACATTAACATTCCTAAAGCGAATTTAAAAAGTTAACTTCGATCTTCTGCACTATTTACATTAAAAGCGTTCCAAAGAACCAACAAATAGTTCAGAAACGATTCGATATGCGATAGGAGTGCATAAAGAATACGCTAATGCCTGCAAACTACAGTTGCGATCACACGCAACACTAGTGTGTCGGAGAAGTTGCCGCACCAACACAACACAGGATGTGTATCCAGAAACAAGACCTTTCTCGTTCGGCACTTCGGCATTTACAGCGATGCTTAAGTTATTCTGCACATACAACGCAATCTTTTTAAATGCACAAATAAAACAAACGTATAAATCACTTGCCAGCATACACTAATTCAAGAGACAGATCACATGACGAAGAATGTGGAAGTCTCAAACATAATGATGAAATGAAGGAAACTGGCAGTTAGCCTACGAAGAAGACAACAGGTAGACAGCGAAATGATTTCAAAAAAATCCGACATACAGGAAGACTTAGAGAGGCGACGGAAATACGAATACAACATTCCAACTTCGAAATGGTCTTCAATTATGTGCTCCTTGTTGAGGAAGAGGAGGAAATGCGTTAATTACGATTATTCCTGTCGTATAATTGTACCGACAATTCTACTAAATTCCATTTACTGATTATTAATTTGCGCATTTACACCACAGCTATACAACCAGTTTGCCTTTTAAAGCTAATCGGACCAGAAGGGATACTGTGAAAAGAATTGAGCACGTGTAAGCAATTTGTTTTCGACTCTAACGACATCGAAATTTCATTCATAAAGATTATAAATAGTGCAACGCAAGATTTGTCCACTACCGACCATTTTCCGATTATAAAAATCTCAATGTGGACGAAATTGTATCGTTATAAATGTTCGATGGGACATACGGAAGAGGAAAAGAGAATAAAACTAAATAGAATAATCGAAGTATGTCTCTTTATCTCGCTAGTATCACGAAGTTTAACACTACACGCTCGATTTCTCTTACAAAACTATCGGCTAATTGCCCCACACTTCACTCGAGACAAGTAAGTGAGAGTGGATTCGACCAAGAATCCTGCACAGCCAAAATAATGCAGTCTCCATAAAGTGGTAAGTCTGTAGTGTAAGTTCATCAAGCAAGGCTCAACTTCAGTGTGAATATCACTAACCCGTGATGTTACGTTGTAATGTCATTGGCGTCTAAATTTAGGTGCTGCAGCTGCGTTGGTGTCAAACCCGATCCTCCTCCAGCTCGGGGTCATCACCGGCAAGAAGCGAAGACGCCGTGATACCGACGCTGACTTCCCACACGTCCCTAACCTAAGCGCCGCAGAAGCCGAAGCTGTGCAACAGAAACTGAAAGAAATCGCTTTGCTGGAGCGATTCATGACACAGGTACATATTCCAGAAAGAGCTCAGTTTGCCTTTTACGTGCCCGAAATTCTTCAACGCGCGTTTCTAAATGTTAAATTGTTATTTCCATAGTTCTAATGCTCCATCGATAAAATGGCTACACGCGAATCCAAGATTTCACCCGACATGGTCGAAATATTTTCCTTTGTGGCCAGTCTAGTTATAATTTAATCAGATTACTGTTGTCACCATATTGTTGCTACTAACTGAAGTGCAAACAGATTCACACCGTGAAAAAGAAAACTGACAACGACGCGTGACAACACACAGTAATTAAAATCAAATTACGCGATATAATTCAGGTTTCACTCAGCAATCGTGTCATTAACAGGGTACATTCCACCGAACATTGTATTCGAAACTTACACCGCTAATTCTTTTCCGCTAACAAGTCTCGTGTTTGGCAGCAAGCTCTCTTATAGGCGATCACGGAGATCGAAGAATTTCTCCAACAGAACAGCTGTATACCGCCTGCATTATAAAACAGACGCAATTCCAGTGTTAGAAGGAAGCCTGGTACGCCTCTGATACTTGTGAATGGAACTATCATTCATGAAAATAGCTTATGAGGTGGTCAAACTTCGGAACCACTCGCTTCGCATTAATACCCCCACAAACACTGGCATTTTTATTGGGCCCAGTTATAACCCCCCAAATTCTTCCTACATTGGGCACGTCAATTTCAACTGGTGTGTCAGGAACCTACAGAACATACCTCCCAGCAGTCTTCGGTACAGAGGCAAAAACTGTCAAAAATGTCTGGTTCGTGCTTTTATGGCCTATCGTAGTGGTATTCAACCTTTTTTGTTAGCGTACTCCCAGATATAATTTCTCTTCAACTTTGTACCCCCAAAGTTGTTGGTATATAATTCAAGTTATACATAGTATATAATCTACATCTAAAATAAATTAAATAAATTACATTACTGATTTTTCAGTGTTTATCATAAAATAATTTTTTTTTAATTTCACGTGCCCCCTAAGATGTCTTCGCGTACCCCAGGTTGAATACCACTGGCCTATTGTACCTGCTTAAAAGTGGCCGATTAATGGCTTTTAAGACGTTTTTTGAACTACGCTGTGTAGCATATTTTAAAAGACCATTCCGATATTTGCTTTGAATAATTGAGGAAAGTCACTAAAATCCTCAACCACGACAGATAACAGACAGGCGAGATTCAAATACTGATCCCTCTGAATACGAAGCAAGAGTGACAATTATTCAATCGCAACATTTAATCATAGATACGAGATTTAAATTATGTAACTGAATATCTCGACAACATGAGCAGGTCTGTTAATTTTGTGTCAGTGCTTGTTGCATATTTATGACAGGTCCCGAAAGAACAAGCCGTCAGTCAGGAGAAACAGCTGTTAGCTAACTACTTGTCGTGCTCTGGGTCAACGAACGCTAACACCACTTCAGGTTCCTGTGTGGAACGACTCACGTGCGAACTTCATCATCCTGACTCCGATGCGTCACAACTTGAGAAACACGTCATGAGCATGTGAGTATAACCTCCTGTCCGTTCAGAATGAACCAGAACGACCCACACCGGATGCACGTGCAGCCGTGAAATAACTTTCCGCAAAAGAAAGTAAATTCTTTAATGCCCGTGGATCTTCTGATGTCAACATGTCTTTTGGCACTGGGCAGAGTCGACTTATTACGTCGCAACCCACACAGACGATGTCCAATAATTTCGTCCACGTATCGAATTCTTGGAAGAAGAAAAAAAAGTTTGATAAAATATTGTATGAAGTTGGCAACACTGATAAAACCTCGATAGTTACTACAGCCAGTTTTATGGTCCTTCTTGCAAATTCGTCCAATAACAGACTCATTCCACTGCTGAGGCAATTCCTTATTCCAAATAAAATTAAGGAGTTTGCGGACCTCAGAACGAAGAGTTTCACCTCCTGCTTGAATCAGTTCTGCCAGAATTGGATCACTAACTGGTGATTTATACTATACTTTTGTCCCTATTTTTATCTAGAACAAAATACGCAATATTGTATATTCGATCGTTGAAAACGCTTTACCTGGTGTTTGTTAATAAACAGTGAAATAATATTGATAATGGAATAAAACCATTTGCGTTATCAAGATGAACAATCACTTTGTTTGCGAACTTCAACTGCTATAATGCCATCACATCATTGTGGACTTCTGTGGAGCTTTAATGAATGCTTCAGTTGCAAGCACCGTAATGCGTCCATCAATATTTTGTAATCTACATTAACATAGATTAAGATTGTTTCTGTCTCTTGCTTTGTTTCAGAATCACGTCAGAAATTCTTACAAACGAGTACGTTCCTGATTCTGTTAAAGAGAGGGTGAAGTCGGCAACAACAACTGGTTCACAATCTGGCAATTGTAGCGAATTTCCTTGCGACAATATAGAAAGAAATTAGCTGGGTTTCGAAAATGAATTCCACGCACTATATACCTATAGTCATGTGACAAATTGATTGCAGTTAGTTTAGTACAGACGTAATGAAAATGAAAAATGAATTCATTATTAATTAATTCTTTGGATTCGAAGCTCATTTAAACAATAATACATTCAGTCCCTACCTCAAAGAAAACACAATTCTACATCGCAAACATCAATGCTGTGTAAGGAAATACAGTAGATTCCGGTTAAGTGGGCCATCGGTTAATCGGGGCAGCCGTTTATTTGGGACAAATCTTAAAGAACATACCTTTATAACTCTTTACGTGGATCTTCGCATAATTGGGGCAAAGTGTTCTAGTCCCGATGTGTCCCAATGAACCGGAATCGACTGTAGCTGCTGTTTACTCCATGAATCATACGAAACCCATTAATACCCTCTGAGGGTAAAGTACAGAATTGCTGATTGTTGCACTAGGTGGTACATACAGCTACCACTGACTTCGAAAGGTAAAGTTTTTTAAGAAAACATACATAACACCAATAGGCCTATTATTATATCAAATACTTTAATTACTATATAACTGTTAAGTATAAACATCTCATATTTTCTATAACATTTTACAACACATTTGTGTCAAACACTAGTGTTATATTTCATTACAAAGTTTTAGTTTGTAACAATACGTAACTACAACGTAAAATATGTATACATAGATGCCAAATTATGCTAATACGATAAAAACTAAATTTGGCATTTTCAACGGTCATTCTTTTTTTCTTCTTTACATTACACTATGCATGCTAAGTGTTGCTAGGAAAAACGAGCGGCAACTTTATAACATTCTCACGGTGGCGAATATGACGCCTTGTGGCATGTTGCGCTGTGTAGTCTCCCACAGACTACCAACCAAAAAGCTAACTGAAAGCGCAAGACATCGTCCCTTGTTAGGTAACACCATTCCTGCTTACGAAACGCATTGCTTTAAATGGTAAACAGAGCCTTATAACTAAAATGGGAATTTGCTTACGCTAACGGGGTTCGCACAGACTTATCGACGTTTAAGAGATGTATACACCTCCATCGCCAAGGCCCTGATGACAGAGGCAACAATAACCTCTGAAACGTCGGTCAATTTCTACGCGACTGCACGCCGCAACATCACAGATAATCAAATTATTCAATTTATAGCCTATTTATACATAATTAATTTGTACCAAAAGCATTCAAATACAAATATGGACGTAAAATGTCAACTGCTGAATGCAAAATAATTTCAAACCAACATTTCTAATGGTCTTACCTTACAGTAGTATGCAGCGAATTACATGTACGACGCTTTCTCATCTTCGATAATGCCCGCACCTATTCCACTTGTAGCTCCAGAAAACTGTCTCAGTTGTTTATATGTCAATCACATAATTAAAATGTTAATCCTTTCGCAAAATTATACAGAACATCCTTCCCAATTACATTTCACCACACCAAGCAGTTTTGATAACTGCATTGACACTGAACGTGTTTTGTAGTAGTTACAAAATATTCCACTATGTGCCGTGGCGTTCGCATAGCATTAGTGGTATGAAAAATTAGCATACCAAAATTGCTACGTTATATTTTATGTTTGAGTTGATACTCAAAACGTAACAAATAGTAATAATGGTTTTATGAATAAGAAAGCCACTTGTTTTTGCATTTACCTCGCAAAAATGATTGCTGCTAGCATTCTGGAGAAATCATACCTTGATTTCATTTTGCAATAGAATAAATCACATAAACAAATGTGAAAGCTATACATATGCAACCACTTGAACCTAACCATAAATCATGTAATTAATATGGTTAATAACTAATTCATAATTTCATACAAATCATCCCATTTTCATTTTCTATTCATCTCCCCCATTACATGTGCTGACATGTAATATACACTTGGCTGCAGAAACTTTTAAATCACTTCATTAACTTCATACATAACATTTGGAAAACAACAATTAAAATATTTCTGAGTAAGAAATTGATTATATTGTAAGCTTTCCTTTATCAGGGAGTAACGCTGAAATCAGCATAGTTTTGCCAGAAAGTTTTATGAATACCCTTTTTGCATTATACAGAAAATATGAAATTTTATTTAAAAATTGCAAATTGTCTCCAATTATCTTTACAGTTGTCTTTGCCTAAACAAGCAGTGTTTCCGTTTAAAATTACGTCCTGCATTAATAAACAATGTACACAATAAGTTTGAATAATCAAAATTATCTGCAATAACCTGATTATTCACTGTTACTATAACATACATTGTATACTATATATAAAACACACTTCTTTATACTCATGTGATAACTTACTTTCTCAACAGGAAAGAACTTTGTTTATTAGAAAGGACCATTTCCACAGCCCATTTCAGTCTTTCTATTTGTACAATTAATGAATCATTTTACTCTTCTGAGTTTAGGAGGTAACCTTACCAACTAAATTAACCAAGTACTATGTCAATGACAGAAAAGTTTTAATAGAACATGTGACAGAAACTAATATTACCTGACATATGTCATACACTCTTTTCATAGAACAGATAATCTGATAAATCTTTGACACTTAATGGCCGCTGATATTGTTTTCATCTCCTTTCCAATTTATTTGCACTGGTGTGTATATCAGTTATCACTTTTTTTCTGCCTTGAAATAATATTGGCATTCAGAAGTTGAACCAGTACACAAATTTACTCAGAAACTCCATGAAACACTTTGTATACTCCATAACTAATAAAACAGTTTTTGGACCACTGGCCAAGAAGGTACAAATGTACATTTAATGTTTATCATATAAGAACAGAAGATTAAAAACCATTACTACAGAGTTACTGACTGGATTTCTAAGGATTTAGAGGTATGCACTAAGAAAATATATAACTTACTCCCACTTACTGCCAAGCAGTTATGCGATTGGTCTTGTGGTAAGTGTAGCGATGTTTGTTAAGGCTGTTCTGTGTGCTGTAGCTTCGAGCACAAAGGTGACACCTAAACACACCAACAGGAATACTGTGCTTGTCACTGATATGTCTGCGCAAACTTCCTCGGGAACTCAGGACCTTCCCACACTGCAGACAGGACAACCCATGTTGAGGAGAATTCTCCAATTGGGGATACACCACACTTTCATGCATCACTGCAATCATGACAGAACATAAAGTATTAAGGGAGTCATTCCCCAAACAATGGGAGAAGAAATATTAAATTATTCCATCTTGTATAGAAAACACTTTGCTCTGTAATGCATTCTTGTGGCAGAACTGGTAGCTAAAAATTACGAATGTACGAGTAAATAAAAAATTGCATATTCACAATGTATGGGATTCAAATGTTCAACCTTTAAGATGTGGAAGAAGTAATGTCCTCGTTCACACAATTATTCATGCAGAGTCTGAAACAGATAAATAAATGCTGGAATCATAATGCAGCAAGGTTTGAAGGAAATCAGTAGGGAACACAATAGATGAATATAAAATAGATGCTAATTTTTCTTTAATTTTATTATTACACCAACTATCATAGAACAATACAATGTCTCTAAAGTGAAAGCGCTTAGCGCTGAAAAAGTATGATATGCCTATTATTATCATCATAGATTTTATATAAAAAACAAAAAACTTAAACTGAACAATGGCTATTTCCCTGTGTATTGTTATAAAAAGAAGCATAAGTACCAGTATTTGAATGAGGTTAGCTATGGTCATGTTGATATCTGAGGCTATATGAGGTATACAAAATTATATGATTATAATGTCCATTTGTATGTTTGTTATTAATTGGCAAGCAATGGTGAAGTGGTCACTCAAGGATTCTTGTACTGATATAAAGGCATCTTGTTTGTAATGATATTATTTCTTGTAATTTCTCCCCATTATTTTGCTGAACTGTTGTGCATAAAATGATTAGCAAATCTGAATCAATTTCTTTATATCCAACTCATGTAAGGAACAATACGATAAAACTACGTTAATATAAACCATAGTACGGGCTAATAAGTTCTGTTTCATCAGCCTGGTTTATGTACAACTTCAAAAAATGTATGCTACTGAATACATTATTAATAAATTTTAGCTTGATGGAAGGCTTTTGTTTGAACTAATAATCCTGCAGGTATCAGCACAACAGATGTGAACACCTTCATATTGTACACTCAAATACAATGATGTTGCTGCATTTCTGGCTAAGTAATTATCTGTAAGTACTAAAAAATGTTAAACTGTAACCCACGTTACACAACTATGCTGTTATTAAGACCCAGACAATTACAAGATAAACATGACTGGAAATTACAATTTACTTAAACTGACCATAAGAGGATAGACATCAACATTTCAATTAAAGATTATTACAATTAAAAGTTATATTGACAGTAATATATCGCAGCTAAAATAATATTGTTATAAGTAAAGGAAAGATCATATGTTCCATACAATTTTCAGAAATAGATAATTTCACTTTGGTCAAACAGACTTAGAGAACATATTTCAAAAGCACTGTTATGAAATTAACCCTTGGCATTTTCAAAATGTAAGTCTGAACTGATGGCAGTTGCCTCATGCACCTGCATATTCTTGTCTTTTTGGTATAAATGGGATCAGTATAAAGGTGTTAAAACTTCCTGCAGTTAATATTCAAGATGAAACATCAAAAGTAAATGTGTGCATGTGATAAAATGATTTGTTATTCACAATACAGTTATCAAGTCATCCATGTGTGTGTGTGTGTGTGTGTGTGTGTGTGTGTGTGTGTGTGTGTGTGTAATGTTATGTCTACACAATTCTATTCACTATTTTCCTGAGCTCAATAATATCCCTGCCAAGTATGACATAGCAGCTAATGCACAAATGTTGCATTACTTGCTTCTTATTCAAATTTTGTGTATTAATTTCAGTAGCAAGTATCTAATTCAGTATAACAAACAACTGATTCAACCATTATTACTTTCATAACATAACTCAAACTTATTCAGTATCTTGAGAACATGCAAAGTTTGTGATCTACATTATGTTATATAAACAAGATGGACAATTTCTTTCAAATACATTTAGAAACAAAAATTTCAGTCAGAGGTACAGAAAAATATCAACAACAAAAAAGAGGAGGAAGTAACATAACTTGTACCACAAACATTACATCACTAAAATTAATGAAGCAGCAATTCTCATTTCAATATTCCTTACTCCCACATCAACAAAAAATTTGATCCTCTCACAAATATTTAATCCCAGCAGTGAAAAGGATGGTCTTTAATTTTCTCTTAATCTTCAACAGCTTCCCTTAATATATGCAAGTTAAATATGGCTGGCAGTTTTGTGCAAATTTAGTATCCTGAGTCAACTTATGACAGCCATATTCTTAGGTCCAGTAATTAATAATCCAATTATATTCATTTCATGCAAAGATTTACTTCCATTACCTCAATTTCCATGAAACCAAAATAAACTTCATTTTTTTTGGACCAAACTTGAGAAAGAATTGTATAACTGGGTGAGAAGTTAATCTGACCTTCAATCACACAAACTTCTCTGTTGTTATATTAATTTTAACTTACAGACCATTACTGAGGTAAGCATTTGCAAAGACAGAATTATGTCTCACATTGTGCATAAGTACAATGGTATTTGCTGGTTTTCTTTATAAACATTATTGAGATCGATTTCTAATATTTTAGCACTAGTAATAGTTGCATATGTATAAAAATATATTACCTACCACACAAGTAAAAATAAAACATAAATCCAGGTATGCACAAAACTCTACACTAATAACAATGAAATTAAAATCAAACTTACATACATTACAATACATTTTAAACTCCATGCTCCTGTTACTGTTAATTATCTGGGTCTAATAAATCAATGCAGCCACATTCACAATATATAAGTCATTAACTTAACACAAAGTCTTCCATCCTGAAATACCACTTTATAAGGCATTACACCTGTTTACTATTTATCAAAGTCTTCATTCTTTGTACAACCTGGGGCATGAACCTACATCTTAAATGACCATATGCAAATGATACAAAGTCCTTGGGCAAACTACACCAGCCTTTTCAGTCACTCAGCTCCTTTCACAGTCGCTGCACTGAACAACGACAAACATCTACAATTACAAATGTCAGCAAAAGCTGCCTGCTTTGATCTTATAACGCAGATGTGCAGCATTCCATTGATCATGGTACCAAGGACTACATGTCTAACACACAAACATACACTAGTTCCTTGTAACCAGCACACTATTATTAAAGTTAAATGACTCCCTTTAATCCAAAATGGAAAATTGTTGTTTATATGGTTACTGTGACAGCTTACATGATGGAAACAAGCTATGACCCATCATTTGCTTGAAGGAAAAGAGAACTCAGAGTAAGAGACTACCATAGTGCAGACTAATTCCCTGATCACCAGGATTCAATGTGGATATGACTGTATTGTATCTTCCCAAACAAATGTTTACTCAAAACTAAAACTAAACCTAAAAGATTTAGGGTTCTGAAGAACTACCAAAAGGTAAACAAAGTTTTCTCCATACATAACAATCAACAAGTACCTATGAATTACACATATAAGATTTCCATATCTCTTCTTCTATACTCCATACATTTAAGAGAAAATCACATAAATTTAAGCGATCTAAGGGGTATGACTTATCATATCTTGCATTACTTGTCACAGGAAAATACCAAATTAACATTCCATTCTGTTAACAGTTGGATCCTGCAAAATTAATGGTCACCTATTCTAGTGTAGGACTTTGTACCATCAGCATCCTGTAAAAGTACAATACATCTATTTACAGTTAATAGCTTTTTAAAATAAAACTCCTGACCTACTGTAAGTTTCATACAATACCAATGATATATAATCGCACGACAATGATATGTCCTCAGAATACAATGATATCCATTGTTACATGACAATTACCATCTTCCAATACAGAAAGTATAGTATCATATCAGATTTATTTTAACAGCATCCTTTAAAACAAACTGTCATTACATTACATAAATGAAGGTCAACCATACTACATAAACAGACACCTCTCGTTCATATGAGACCAACATTATAGCAAAACAATCTATGTTCCACAAAGTTACACTACAAATTACTTAACAAAAAAATATATAATTCAATAAAATAATTTCTGAGAAAAAATAATGAATTAAGTATGCAGTACTACTAGTACCACATAACTGGTTAAGAAAAGGAAACTTTCAGATGTATCAGTTCAAATGACTAACAAAGTATGTGACATTCCTAAGCATTTTAGGCATGTTCAAAATTCTCCTTACCTACAACATT